GGCCTAGGGTGTCCTGGTGCCATGTGCACTGATGGACACCCTTATGCTTGAACACGGTGTTCGTTATGGACAAACTGTGACTAGCACAGAAATCCAATAACAAGACACCACTCGGGTTCAGATCCGGCAGCCTCACTGCCTTTACTGACATTGCCGGTAAACCCGTGTGTCTTATTTGTTGAGCTAATGTGGCTGTTCTGATCTGAACAGCCACATTAGCTCCACCCTGGCAGGGTGGGGGCTGAAGACTGGGTAGCATCAAATCTATTAAAAAACAGATTCAGTTCACCGCGACCTGGTGACCATCTCCATTTTTACCATGACCCGAGATGTGTTTCAGGCCTCTCCACACTTCACGCATGTTGTTATTCTCCATGCTCTGCTCCAGCTTCTTCCTGTAGCTATCCTTGCACCTCCGGATCATGTCCTTTAGAAATCAAATTACAGTAAAATCAAAATTTTATGTTTAAAAAACTATAATTACAAAACTACTCCATTTTGGAAAAGTCGTGAAATTACAGTGGAACCTCGGTTTTCGTACGCCCTACTTTTTGTACAATTTGGTTTTCGGCAACTTTTTTTGTCAAAATTTTGTCCAAGTTTTCATACATCCACTCGGTTTTCGTGGCGAGATGGTATGCAGCAGAACAATTTCTGAATTATGTGATGGGTGTAACTAGACTTTGTGTGAATGATGTGAAAACGTTTGTAAAGATTGATTGGTCAGTCAGTCGAGTCTATGAACGTATGTAGTGTAGTAGGTGGGAGAAGGCGTGCTTGGGGAAACAGAGGATGTGCTAGGATGGTAATATGTGCGTATGTAACTAGGACAGGGTGTGAATAAATAAAAGGGATGGAGAATCAATCATTTTTACTCCTAGCTGCCTCCATGGTGATCACACACCAGCAGCAATGATCATACTGACAGCAACTACGCACACATCTACTACGCTGACAAACCCACATGTTGCGCATCATCTTGTGTGGCTTTATAGTACCCCTACGCCTACACACCTGCTGACACGCACAGCAAGATCTCACGTTGTGACACCGTATCGATGGTCTGAACCGGTCATGGGAGTCACTCAGGCCAACTGTTTCTGCGTCGGATGTCATCAGTCCCGTGTCTTTTCGGCAACAATACAAGCCTCAAGGCAGTGGTTCGCAGAAGATCCCTCTCCGAGCTCGAATCATGTATCGAGGCCTCGGTGTGAGATGGCCATCACTACCTCTCCCCCATACCCTGAAACCTTTTGCCCTGTGTGCTGAAAACAATGCAAGGCAGTCAGCTAGCTACTGTAGCTAGTTATGACCTACAAGGAAGACCACAATGAAGGAGCCAAGGAGGGCCCCTTTAAAAAGAAGTGTTTTTGTGTTTAATAATATACTATGTGAAGACGAGGCATTCAGACTCTGGATTCAGAAAGTGGACAATGTTACAGCAGAATAGAGCTACAGAATTTTTCCTTAACAGTTATGTGTCCGGGATTGCACCATATGTTATTAAACTACACCGCCAAACCTCCACCTTCCCCACCTTTCCCCTTACCACAGTCAGCCGTGCTTCAATCTGCCCGAATTAGTGTAAATCCTTGTAAGCAGACCACAGAATCTGGAGTGTTGTTGTTCAGCCAGGTCTCGGTGAAGCATAGCAGGCTGCTCTCCCTATACTCAGGTTGCAGTCCCATTAGTGCTGTTAGCTCGTCCATCTTGTTGGAGAGGGACTGCACGTTACCCATAACGACAGATGGTAAACATGGCCTATACCTCTGTTTCATCTCCCAGCGCTTTATGCCGGCTCTGCAGCCCCGCATTTTACTCCGTATTTCTGAGGGAATCTCCAGCTTCTCCCCGTGAGGTGGCCGGTCGCTTCTGAGTGTTAGTAGTTGGCTTCGGGTGTAAACAACGCAACCGGTGTCTCCTGACACCGGAGCTCACGAAGTAGTAAGAGTCAGCGCTGTGGCTCATGACGTATTCCGTGTCAACCTGATTTTACACTGTTGTTCTTGCTGTGTCCACCTGCCTCTCTTTCAGAGTCTTTGTGAAGCATCGTTCCCTGCAGTCGCTGCCCGGCCCAGGACACCTTGTTTGTTAGCGCCATGAGATTTTCTCTCTGAGAATGACACAGAATGATGTTTGGAAGATGGAGAGAAGACAGAAAGAAGACAAGGAAGCAGAGTGTGAGATAAAATGCAGAGCTGTAAATGTCATGTACAGACACAGACACCAGTCTCACAGTGTTATTTTCATCCTCCCTCATCAAAAGAGTAAACAGTATGTTATATGTCCGCTTCTATTTCACATGATGTACAGCAGTTCACGCACTGGAAATGAAGATGAAAAATCACAATGAAATGACTAGTTCAAATGAAAAGGACTTGCATAATTTGTAAATATATTTTTTAAATGTTTTTTTCTCTTTCTTTTGCTTTGCTATGCAAGTCGAACCTGTTGTCTCTTTTCGTGATTTATTACAGTGAATCATTTTTCATTAATGCAACTATTAGCTTATTTTGACGAAGCTACTGTATTGTTCTACTTTGCACAGAGCGTTTTTGGTGAAAATAAGCACAAACCCATTGTCAGCTGAGCTGAAGAGGAGAATCATAATGGCAAAGAGGGATGTCTATGTTAAACAGAACCTAAGCAGAAGATATATACTTGGCTGTGCTGTAACTGTTTTGACAAATACCCATATATCAAGAGTTACAAGGAAAGAATTGAATACAGGTACATACTTGGAAATGATATGCCAAAATAAATAACTGTGTTTAATACTGCTTTCTAGGAATACTATTATGCTTTATACTAATAATGATTCTTAGAAAATGTTTTTATGGTAATAAAGCAACACAACAGATTTGATATCCAAAGCAAATACATGGGAAATTTGGCATGTGTCACCTCTGTGATATATATATGAGTGTGTACATGTGTGTATGTGTGTGTTTCTTTTCCAGTCACACACAGTGACATGATGATGTGTGCAATATTCACAAGATGGTATGACAGTAAAAGGGAATGGAAAATTAAAAGCAAGTCAGTGGTAGCCACAGGCCATGTGCTCATTACCTTAGAGGAGCAGAGACAGATGCACTAAAATGTCTTGATGTCAACTGAAGATAAATAAGATGGAAGTTTTAATGACACTTATACATGATATTAAACATCAAAGAAATGATGGTAATGGATTTACACTGTCTTACAAATATGTATGGAGTTGAAAGACAGCCAAATATAAAGATCCTTTGAAAAGTTTTAACATGGAACCAATTAATGTTTTCTGCCAGTGAGATTTTACACTTGTTTGGATGCTTGTATTTGGATCAGTGTTCTGGTGATGGCTCTCCCTTTGAAGAATCTTTACCTGCCAGATTGGTTTGCCCTCAGGAATACTTAGCCGCATACAGTAGGGCCGGTTTTCAATCCTTTGATGCAAAATAAAATGTGTATGTGAAAATTAACCAGATTTCTTCTCAGAGTACTTTTGAATCTGACCTACTGTTTGTATTTACCCACCAAAAGTTGACTTTTTATACAGTCTTCAAGCTAGTTAAGATCATGTCAAATATCTCATATACACATCAATTACACTGGACAGTGATTTTATAACTTTTTACTAGGCATTAAATATACACATTGCCACTCATACCTAAATCTTTCTTTAACTCAAATGCTCAAGGGATTTATAATTCACTGTTTCAGAAGTATAATATAAATGCCATCGGACATCATCAGACATATGTGTCCCTAAGTCAGCATGAGCATTAATTTTAAAATATGGCTCACCCAGGGGCTAAGAAGTGAAATGAAGGCCTATCTTCTTACTTTATTGCTCAAATGTAATACTAACAATCCACATGGCTGAACAATGTGTCTGCTTTAGTTGCATTTAATAGATACTTTCACATACATGTCACACTGTAAAGGGTATACTTTGAATTTGATATTGCCAAACCTCCGTGTACATGTCAGAATGATGGCTCCTCATTTTTTTTTTTCAGATTAAACCTGAGTTCATCACTGGTCCACATGATACCTCTATACGAGGAGATAACTCTGCTATTGCTAGCCCAGATCGGGACGGCGCTTTAGGCAATGATGTAATACAGCAGGTGCTGTGCACTGTGTGGGACAGCCTGTCAATATTTGTGTCTCGAGATGGACAGACAGGGATTAGGATTGTCTGCAGATACTGTGCATACAAGAGTGCAATGTGAAATTCAGCATTAAATCTTTAAACTGGTTGGTTTTTCAGATTTGCTTTAACAACAGAAAAAAAGAGATGTTATAGAGTCAGGTCTAAACTTTCTTTGACACAATTTGACTGCAATATTACAGAATTGGCCCCCTCTCCCCACACAGTCACATCACCAAGTTTTGTATATGCTTCTAATTTACCCATCTTGTAGTACATGAGAATTTAATAGAGGAACAGAAGAACATCGCCAGGCCCACGGGAGCCCAGTTCCAGGGCTCCACTTGCATTCACAGAACTACAGCTCCCTCTTATAAAGATGACACCTAATATAATACTGGTGTATAATGGTGTAGTTTTGCCGGCCGGGATTGGCTCCGCCATAACATTAGGAGCATAAATTCAATGATAGTGTGTTAACACTGTGAGAAAGTGTTAAAGTTTAAAGTGTGAACAGATAGCTGTTTAATTTTCTTCATAATTTATCAGCCATGTAAAAATGGAAGCTGTTGCCCATTGAGATTGATTTTGGTGGTATGGAGATATGGAGGGTTGAATCTCACTTTATAACAAGATCCATGAGACTTTTTTTTTTTGGTGTGATTTTGTTACCATTTCAAATTTGATGTAGCTGAGAAGCAGGAGAGCTGCTCTGACCCTAACCTCTAGTGTAAGTGAAGACTATTGTTTTACTATTGACTGCTTTATTATATTTCATAATCATAATAGATGATAGAATAAGTGTTAAATTAATTCCAGAAAATGTTGTGCCACATAACACATTAAAAAATCATATAGTTCATCCAAAAAAAACTAAATATCTACTTCAAACTCAGAAGTGATGCATTTGCTCACCCATAATAGCAGATAAAGATATTAAAATTAAAGTAATTTGAACTCAATAAGCTTATCATGCAAGAGGGGCTCTCTAGGGGTGGATGCAAAAATAAATAAAATTAAATTTAATTAAATAAAAAATTCCTTTGGGTGTAAATCACCATCATATCCAGGAAAATATAAATTTAAAATGCATCATAATTACAGGCTGTAGTTTACAATAACACAATCGCCTTCTCACAAATCAGACAAGAAATATTTATTCAAAATATAACATGTAAGAATTATTACCACCTATTATTTCACCCAGTCACAGAACAAATTTTAGATGCATGAAGTGTCGCAATAGTATGTTGATTACAGAGCTTGTAAAGCTGCTCTTTACATTTTGAAACACCAGCAATATTATGATTTGCAAAGTAAGGCATTATATTTTATGTTTTACCTAGCCTTTTAATAAAGTACATAACAGCCAGATGTTCCATTCTGTGTACAGTGGGCTACTGTAAATGAACTGCTCTAATGGCCTTGCTCTGCAAATATTAATTGTTGTTATTTTAAAAGAAAAGGGAAGGGAACCATTAAGTTTTCTCTGCATTTTCTTCAGACCTTAATGCCACATGAACTGCATAATCTTCCCAATATGTGGGCGACAGCCTTTTCAGTGTGATTACATGTAACCTTGACTTGAAAGGCTGATTTGTGACTCATGACATTTGGCTAATTGCAACATTCGAACAGTATGGTTGGTGGTTTACACGCAGCCCACCTGCGACTGCGGCTCCCACTCTGTGGCTCAGATACCCTGAGGTGAAGCTAAAGGCCAGCAGTCCCCTGGCCTTTATCTCCCTCTTGGACCAATTTGTTTTCATCTTGTTCACCCTGATGGTACATCTACTTCTTTTATGTTGCCACTTCACACTGTGGCACTGAAATGAAAAGGTGAGGCATCTCCTGGAGGTTCTGGGTTTCTGATATGACATTTGGGTAAATACAGAGAGGACATTTGCATGCTGATACTGATATGTACTGTATACAGCATTTGTTTATGAATGAGCTAGATGCCTGATAAATCCAGACACAGTCACCAGGACACATCAAAGACAAATCTGGCTGTTTTTTTTACCCTGCAACCAAGACCTAGTTTTGGTTTCTGGGAGCTCCTGTGGAGAGGATGTTTGTATAGTAGTTTAGCTTTACTATTTACTATTTAGTATTTGTCTTTGTATGACTGCCCAGATAGTGTTTTTTTCAATTCTTTGTTGAGCCAGGGCACGATCCTTCAGGCAAATCAGAAAACAGTACCAAGTAACAGTTACTGCATTTACTGCAGCCTACTACCCTTACAAAAATGTCTCAAATTTAATTCATCTGCCTTCCATATTTTAATTTAAGTTCAGCTACACTGAAAAATATGTTTTGCTTATTGTTACTTGAATGTTTAATCTTCATAGCACACAGTGCAGAGTTCACTGGGGGGGGCAACATATATCTTAAAACGTGAAGGGTATCTTTAACCATAGTGAAGATTTCTTGTGCATATGACACTGAAGATTACACTGGCAGATTTGGGGAGGACTGCTGTTTCCTGTTCCTGCGGTAACTGTATTCACTTCCTGTTTAATTTGCCAGCACATTGTTGTGGTTGTTAATAGATTGTTTATAGATTAAGCTCACTAATTCCTAGGTTTATCTGAATATCAGCTATTTTTGAGTCATTACATACTCCTGCACTACTTAAGAATGGCAGAATTTCTTGCTAATTACAAAATGTAGCTTGCTACTTATAATTAATGTTTAGTCACAGTAACTTTGCCAAAACACTGTCGGACTCCGTAGTTTTCTCTGGACCCCTCCCCAATCTGACCAGCAATTACATGTTTAGTCGCATGTCGAGTTAGGTGTTAGGGTGTTGTTCTTCAACCGCTGGCTGTCTAGGTGGTGCCCAGAAAATGATGTGGGCTCCATAAAGAATTGGAAAACATTTTGGGAAAAACCTGGATTGATTAGCAGAGACGGCATCCATCCCACTTTGGATGGCGCTGCTCTCATATCTAGAAATATGGATGAGTTTATTTTACAACCTAATTTATGACAACCCAGAGTTGCAGTGTCTTTGCAACTGTTACCTTCCCAAAATACCCAGTACCCCATAGAGACTGTCTGCCCTGTGACCACCTAAATTAAATAAATCAAAAATCAACTCAAGAGGAGTTATTCATATGAAACTAATTAAAATTAGGATGACTCCTCTTATAGTAGAAAGTAATAGGACAATCAAATGTGGACTATTAAATATCAGATCTCTCTCATCTAAATCTCTGTTAGTGAATGATTGGATAAGTGAACATCACATTGACTTATTGTGTTTGACTGAAACATGGTTACAGCAGGAAGAATATGTCAGCCTAAATGAATCCACTGCACCTGGTCACAGTAAATGTCACATCCCTCGAAACACAGGCCGAGGTGGTGGCGTGGCAGCGATCTTTGAACCAAGCCCC